TGCTTTGCTCTGGCATTTTCCCTCTTGCCCCAGGAATTCCATCCGTTCAGTTCAACCCATTTATTGAGTGGACCTTACAAATAAGGCCCCAGGTTAAGCACTGTGAAATTACCTCCTTTGTGTCCTTTCTGCATTCCCAGTCTAAGAACATCTCAGGTAGGTGACAGGAAGATTGAGTTATTTTATATTAATATGCAAAAACATATTGAATCATTTATTCAATAAATATATATTGCGCACCAACTGTAAACCAAATACTCTTACAAGCACTGAGATTGCAACGATCAAAGTTCCTGGCATTCTCAGGTAAGTTATATTCTCGTGGAGGTATCAGTAAATAAACATATAATATGCCAGTAGAGGAAATAGAGTAATTTTAAAACAAAAAGCAAGCTTGGTGATGGAGGAGAGAGGAGTGTCTGTACAGGTGGGAAGAGCAGGGTTATTTAGAAAGGTCAGTCGGGTAAGGTACCTCTGAGAACTGATCTGGTGGGGGAATGGGTGGGAAGAGGCTTGGATTTGGAGAGAAGTCTCTTTTTTGGTAGCATTTCCAGTTCCCTGAACTTATTATCAAAACGACATAATGTGGCGAAGACTTAGATGGGGTTTGGAGGTATAGGCCTCTCTAGCGTAGAGCCATAAGCCAGAGAGGGGTACCATATGGACCCTGCCCCCCGTCCCTGGTCTCCTGCCAGTCAGGGTCATGGTTCTGACCCCTTGCCTGGCTCGGTCCTCACCACCCGCATTTCCCCATGCTGGTCACCAACTCTCTGTTTTCCTGTTTATCTCACTGGTAGGACTTCCAGCTTGGATTTCTTCCCAGCTACCACTTAGACTCTTGTCCTTGATGGTAATGTAGATTCTTGCATCACCTTGCCTTGGGCTATTCTGAGTAAATTTCCTTCCCTATCACTAGGAAGAACCTACTCCTTGCCCACCCTGTGGGTAACCATATACTTTATCATTTAAAGTGGGATACTTCTGAGAGCAGAAGGGAGCACTATTAATAATTATGCCAGGACTACAGACATAAACTGGGACCATCCTGTGTAAACTGGGTGGTGGGTCACTGTATGCATGAGGTCATTGGCTCAGTTAGCTCCAGCCCGCAAGTGGAACCAAGACTCCCCTCCCCAGCCTAGCATCTGATCTGAAGGCTGAGGCTGGGCTCCTTCCATGGTGCAGCCAGAAGTCAGAAGACAGATCATCACTCTTCAGTCACTACCTTGTTTGCTCACCCTCAGGCCTGTTTTTCTAGTCTCCATCTAGGAGGACCCTCAGGTCGCACCCCAGAACATGCCTCCACTAGTTTCCATCCTTCTGGGACTGGACTGGAGACTTCTAGAACCCACTTTCTCTGCTTCCTCAGGCTGCTCCCCGGGACGAGATGTAGTCTTTTCTTCCACGTCCAAGTCTAAGAGAGCTGTCTCCAGACCCTTGCGTAGGCCCTACCAGGCTTTTGTGTTTGCCTCTCTGGAGCTCAGATGGAGTCAGGGGAGCTGGGCTTCCAGAGCCAGAGTCAGGCTGACCACCCCTTCCAGCCCCTCAGGACACTAAAAATACCCAAAAATACTGTTCATTGCTTCTTTACATAGCTATAAGCAAAGAAGATGTGGTGTGTATATATATACAATGGAATGCTACTCAGCCGTAAAAAAAAGAATGAAATAATGCCCTTTGCAGCAACATAGAGATTATTATACTAAGTGAAGTAAGTCAGAAAGAGACAAATACCATATGATATCACTTATATATGGAATCTAAAATATGACACAAATGAACGTATCTACGAAAAAGACTCAGATATAGAGAACAGATTTGTGGTTGCCAAGGGGGGAGGGGGAGGGGAGAGGGATGGATTGGCAGTTTGGGATTAGCTGATTCAAAGTGTTATATGTAGAATGGATAAACAACAAGTCCTACTATATAGAACAGGGAGCTACATTTAGTATCCTGTGATAAACCATAATGGAAAAGAATATGAAAGAGAATATGTATAACTGAATCACTTTGCTCTACAGCAGAAATTAACACAACATTGTAAATCAACTAAACTTCAATAAAATAAAAATTTTTTTAAAGTTATATGCTCACAGCTTTAAAAGATTCAAGGGACATGGTAGACACCCATGGTTTTTTAAAGAAAATATTACAGATATTAAGATCAGGCCTCAAATTTTTGAAGTAACACTGAAAAATCCTTTATAATGAGACCGTACTGGGTTATTTTCACTATAATAATACTGACATCTTATTGGAGTCAAATGTATTTTGTAGTACAGGTCCACAATCTCTGATCTGAAATCCTAGAAAGCTCGGAAAACTGAGGGAGGAAAAAAAAGTTCCAAGTTTGTCACAAGTTTATTTGACAGTAAAACCTGGTTTGAATTGGCACGAGGAGTATAGTCTTTATCCCACTTAGTGTGAATGTTCGTGTTTTGCTATAGAAATGTTAATGTGTTTGGTTACTTCTCCAAACTTCAGCGGTGGATATTATGTACTATACGGTATATGTCCTGTATTACCTGTTCGAAATACTTCTGATCCAGAAGGTTTCTGATGAGGCATTTTGGCTCTCTAGTGCTGAAACCAAGCAAGGCCTGGTACCCACTGTACCTGGTACCCTGGTACCCACTGTACCCACAGTGCAGAAGGCCAAACTCTGACAGCCAAGAGTTTGCAGCAAAGTAAGGGTTTATTGCAAGGGGCCAAGCAAGAGTGTGGGAGACAAGCCTCAGATCCACTCCCACTTGGTCTTTGAGTTAGGGATTTTTTTTTTTTTAAAGGGATGAACAAAGGCTGGGATTAATCATCTTGTGACGTTTCTTCATCATAGTTTTCGGGAGTCCGGATGTTCTGGTTTTTGAGGCTCAGACCAGGTGGTCCGTGGCTCACGGGTCTGTCAGCTCATCTTGCCCTGGAGAACCAACCTGGATTTGTGTGTTAATGATGATATATATAATAGCAATTTTAGTGCATTAACGATGTTATGGACAACAGCAATTTTAGTCATCTGACTGTGGTGGATAAGTGTTCAGTTAGCACAGCACAGAGGTCAGAGGGGACAAGAAAGGGAATAAAGATTTGGATAGAGAGATTAATCATAAGCTCAGTAAGGAAACTCAGTGTTAGGGGGGCTCAGTTTCAGTACTGTTTTACCCATTACATGTTTTTAAATTAATAATCTCCACAAATGAGGCAAGCACAAACTTCCAACAAGATTCCTTACAAGTTTGCCCCCATTTGGATACTGCCCCTTGTATGGTCTATAGTTTGGGAAGTATTCAGTATTATTTTCTAGTTGAACATTTAGTACCTTAATCCTTTGGAAGAAAAAAAACCATTGATACAATAAATGATTAATAAATAAATAAAAATAGTGGATAACATATTGAGTCCAGATCTTTCTTTCCCCACTGGTGTAGTATGGAAGGAAGAGGGACTGTCCATCATATGTGAAACAGAGTGGTCACGTGTGCAGCCCATTTTCGTGTTTTCTTTTTCTGCGGTACGCGGGCCTCTCACTGTTGTGGCCTCTCCCATTGCGGAGCACAGGCTCCGGATGCACAGGCTCCGGATGCGCAGGCTCAGCGGCCATGGCTCACGGGCCTAGCCGCTCCGTGGCTTGTGGGATCTTCCTGGACCGGGGCACGAACCCGTGTCCCCTGCATCGGCAGGCGGACTCTCAACCACTGTGCCACCAGGGAAGCCCTCGTTTTCATCTTTATAGGAGCTACACAGATGCCCTCCTGGAGCATAACAGAAGCCTCCACACACAATCTCACACCTTTTTCTAAATTTGAAAAAACTTAGGACCAGTAGTTTTGTGTCTTGCACTAGTTTAGGAAAAGGTTTTTCTGTTCTTTTCTCTAGGAGCATATTGTTCCTCAAGGCCAAAGGTGGGGGGATGGGGAGAGGACTGTATTAGGTATTTAGTCCTTTACTCTCTGACTCAACGTTTGTGGTAGCCAGGCTGCAAGGAACTCCCAGCGATTCTCACCTTCTGGTATTCAGTTCCCTGTGTAATCCCTTCCACATCATATACAGTTTGTGGCAAACAGTTCCAGATTTTCTTCATGCAAATACTGATATGTGTACCATTGTGTATACAAACACACACAGCTGTGTGATTTGTTAATACACGCTGGATCATATTAAACATACTGTCCTGCAACGTGTATATTCACTTTAACAACTTATCTGGGCACATCTTCCATATCTGTTCATATAAATCTATGTCATTTGTTCATGTGTCTCCATATATTTTATTGTATGGACTCCTCCAATCCCTGTTGGAGGATATTTGGGCTGTTTCCAATTTCCACAAATACAAACAGTGATAAAGTAGATAGCATGTGGGTAAATCTGTGGGATGTATTTCTGGTAGCAGTAATGCTGGATCACAAGTAGACACACTTAAAATTCTGATAGATATTCCTAAATTGCCCTCCCCAAAAGTTGTTCTAATGTATTTGCCCAGGGAATGTAAATGTCTATTTCCTTACATCCTCAAAAACGCTGAGTATCCACAGTCTCTACCAGCTAGGTAGGTGAAAAATGACTCATTGCTTTCTTTTGTGTTTAATTGTTAACAATCTTTTCAAATGCGTATTGGCTGTTTGTGTTTCTTCTGTTTGGAATTGTCTGTCCATCTCCTTTGCCCATCTTGATACTAGGTTACTTATACTGATTTGTAAGGACTCTTTGTATATAAGTATGTTAAGGTCTTTGCCTGAAACATATTTTATAGAAAATTTCCCCCAGCTTATTGTCAACACTGACTTTTAACATCTTGAATCATATTCAGGAACTTTTTGTCATAACCCAGTGATGTGTGTTGTATAAAGCATGAAAAAGGCTTTATAACTTAGTTTAAAAATATTTCCAATGAAAATTAAAATTGAGAGAGCATTTCCTGTTTGTACAAATGTTAACTGTTTCTATGTTTAACTTCAGCGTCACTGGCCCAGTTGATTTGCATTTTCACTCTTTCCTTCTAGTTTACCGAATACTATATTCACCGCATTCCCAGAAGCCGGGAGGTCCAGCAGTCCTGGCTGTCCACGGTACTCACCACCTTGTACTCTATGTGGCTCTCCTTCCCCCTGACTCACCGAGTGAAGCCAGATTTGGTACGTATGAGCATCGGAGGCGAGAGAAGGTCACTCTCCTGTGGATCCTTCATTAGTAACAGGACATATTGTTTTCTTGAACAGCTTCCATTCGTCAGCGTGCCAGATACTATACCAGACCTTTTACTAACATGTGCTAAAATTTATTTCAATGCACTTTGCTCAAAGGGGTGGGAAATTTGTCTTCCATTTCTAGCTATAACTTGAACTCTAAACTTGCCCTTTTCTCCCCTCTGTCTCATGGCAATAGGGACTAACCCAGCACTATCTTTAAGCAATTTGTGCTGCTAGCCACCTGTGGTTTCTAAGCCAACGTCATGTGCTTGCCTGTCAGCCAGAGAAGAGCCAGTTTTTTTTATTCCTTTTCAGTACTCTTTTTATTTTGCCAAAACTCTGTTACCAATACTCTGTAATGGCCTGTATGGGAAAAGAATCTAAAAAAGTGGATATGTGTATTTGTATAACTGATACACTTTGCTCTACACCTGAAACTAACACAACAACTAACACAACATTGTAAATCAATTATACCCCAATGAATTTTTTTTTTAAGTTAGCAATCTAGTAGGCACAAAAAAACAGAAACAAAAACAAAAAGCTCTGTTACCAGAAAATGCTATGCAGTGGGCAGAATGTCATACACACTCAAGTTTTTATAGGAAAGTAGTACAGAAAATAGAAATGTGAAGGCTTTAGTGCACTGTATTAAACCTTACCTTCCTTATCTATAAAAGTCTTAAGTTCTCTGTGGTCTTTAGGATGAAGTTCTATTACTAAATGCTAAATGCACTTCAGTAGGCAATGCAGATCAGCAGATATGTTATCACAGTAGTATACACAGTACTTAAATAATGCTCTCATTCCTGTTTAAGGCAGAATCCATTAATCTGCATAGCCTTAAAGAAACCCTTTATTTGCTTTCCATATACATGAGTTCTGGCACAGTGGATGTTATTCTCATGAATAATTGAACAAAAATGCCTTTAGCTACCATGATTTTGAAAGATCTCTATCAGTTTGGTCATTGCCTTTCACCAGCTGGATTGCAATTCAGGTCCCTCCCTTGGATGAGAATTTAAAAATCTGAATTGTCTACGTGAATATTTTAGATTGTTTTTAAAAGCTATAATTTACAAACAGTGAAACGCATAGATCTTAAGTATATAGTTTGGCCACATCTCTATCAAGATATAGAACATTTCCATCACCCCACCTGCTCCTTCCCAAGCAGCCACTTTCTGGTGATTTCTATCACCATAGATTAATTTTGCTTATATTTATTTTTAAATTTTTGACAGAATAAGTTTATCTCACAGTCTCCAACCACATTTTAAGAGTGTGGAACTCAGATGTTTTCCTAAAAGATCATTACTACTCTTAAAGATTTAATTATTTTTGAAACTTAAGAGACAAAATGGAAGGAAGAAAAAAAGTCTTCACATTTTTAGCTGGAAATTTGGGGTTTACATTTACTAAATCACTGGGGGCATGACCACTGTCAGTGGCAGCAGCCATGTTGAATGTGGTGACTTTGGGACTCTAAGGTGTGAAGGTGAGAAGGAAGTAGTGACATGATGGCTGATGTCTGCTGTGGACATGGAGGAGCTCTGGTGACGGCCCTGCCTAAGTATTTTGATACCCTTGTAGTAGGAAGAGTAACCGATGGGGCATTAAGACACTTGGTCCCAGGCTCACTTTGGCTTTTATTTTATTTTAGTTCCCTTCTGGGCATCATTCTCTACCTTAAAACAAAAGGATTGGACCAGATGTCCTCTCAGTTTCCTTCAAACTTAGTCTAAAATTTTATGAGTGCCATAAATTTGCCTATAAAGAGTGGAAGGGAAAAAAAAGACTATTATGTTTCTAAAGGAATAAAAAGGGAAAAGGGGGGAAATGTGAAATACTTATTTCTGTTTTAAACTGAGTCTTCAAAATTATTTCAAACCTGAACATTATCCAGTCAGTTGCTTTGATGTGGCTGGCTTCACAAAATGAACTCCCACGTAATGAAATTCCCTTATACACACACACAAAGTTAATGGTTAAGAACAACATGCAGATCTCTCCTGTATTCATCCTTGGCTTTCTTTTTTTAAAATTGTAAATGGCACTAATTTCATTTTTCTTTTTGAATATTTTTGCCTTTTTTAAATTGAAGTATAGTTGATTTATAGTGTTGTGTTAGTTTCAGGTATACAGCAAAGTGATTCAGTTATACATATGTATATATTCTTTTTCAGATTCTTTTCCATTATAGGTTATTACAAGATATTGAATATAGTTCCCTGTGCTATACAGTAGGACCTTGTTGTTCATCTGTTTTATATATAGTAGTTTGTATCTGTTAACCCCAAACTAATTTATCCTTCCCCCCCTCCCTTCCCCTTTGGTAACCATAAGATTGTTTTCTATGTCTGTGAGTCTGTTTCTATTTTGTAAGTAAGTTCATTTGTATCATTTTTTTAGATTCCACAAATAAGTGATATCATATGGTATTTGTCTTTCTCTGTCTGACTTACTTCACTTAGTATGTGATAATCTCTAGGTCTATTCATGATGCTGCAAATGGCATTATTTCATTCTTTTTTATGGCTGAGCAATATTCCGTTGTATATATATGCCACATCTTCTTTATCCATTCATCTGTTGATGGACACTTACATTGCTTCCACATCTTGGCTATCATACATAGCGCTGCTATGAACATTGGGGTGCATGTATCTTTTCAAATTAAAGTTTTCGTCTTTTCTGGATATATGCCCAGGAGTGGAATTGCTGGATCATATGGCAACTCTATTTTTAGTTTTTTAAGGAACCTCCTTACTGTTTTCCCACCAACAGTGTAGGAGGGTTCCCTTTTCTCCACACCCTATCCAGCATTTATTATTTGTAGACTTTTTGACGATGGCCATTCTGACTAGTGTGAGTTTTGATTTGCATTTCTCTGGTAATTAGCCGTGTTGAGCATCTTTTCATGTACCTGTTGGCCATCTGTATGTCTTCCTTGGAGGATTGTCTCTTTAGATCTTCTCATTCTTTTTGACTGGGTTGTTTGTTTTTTTGTATATGAGCTGTTTGTATATTTTTGAAATTAAGCCCTTGTCGGTCGCATTGTTTGTGAATATTTTCTCCCAGTATGTAGATTGTCTTTTTGTTTTGTTTATGGTTTCCTTTGCTGTGCAAAGGCCTATAAGTTTGATTGGGTCCCATTTGTTTATTTTTGCTTTTATTTCTATTGCCTTGGGAGACTGACCTAAGAAAACATTGCTACAATTTATGTCAGAGAATGTTTTCCCTATGTTATTTTCTAGGAGCTTTATGGTATCATGTCTTATATTTAAGTCTTTAAGCCATTTTGAGTTTATTTTTATGTATGGTATGACGGTGTGTTCTAACTTCATTGATTTACCTGCAGCTGTCCAGCTTTCCCAATACCACTTGCTGTAGGGACTGTCTTTTCTCCATTGTATGTTCTTGCCTCCTTTGTCAAAAATTAATTGACCATAGGTGCCTGCGTTTATTTCTGGGGGCTCTATTCTGTTCCATTGATCCATATGTCTGTTTTTGTGCATCCTTAGCTTTCTTATGATTTTCATCAAAATTTCTTCTTTACTTCTTAAAAAAAAAAAAAAAACATTTTTAGAAACTATAGTACCATCAGACTTTAAATTACTTGAGTTGTCTGAACAACCAGGTGACTTTCTGCTTCTCTTTAACTGTATGCACCTGGGCCGGTAAGTCTGTTCTCCATTCAACTGTCTCTGTGCCTCATTTTGTCATCTATAAAATATAAATAAAGTCACTTTCCTTGTTGTTTCAGAGCAAATGCTGAATAATAGAACATTTCAATGTTTTTTAAATGGAAATTCCATCCAGTATGTACTAGCTAACATTTATTGAGCACACTTACATGTACCAGACCTAGTCCTAAGTACTGGCATTCATGCTATATGAGGTGGGTAGTACTGTTATGCACATTTAATGGAGGAGGGAAGTGAGGCTTTGTGAGACAGGAAGTTACTTGCCTAGAGTGTATGCACAATCAGTAAATAACAGAGCTAGGTCTAGCATCCAGGTCTTTCTGATTCCAAAACCCAAGGCCTTAACCACTGGACTGTATGCCACCATTTCTGGCTCACCATGGAAGATGTGTTCATTCATTCAGGCTAATTAAGAATCAGTTAATAGGGCTTCCCTGGTGGCGCAGTGGTTGAGAGTCCGCCTGCCGATGTAGGGGACACAGGTTCGTGCCCTGGTCCGGGAAGATCCCACGTGCCACGGAGCAGCTGGGCCTGTGAGCCATGGCCGCTGAGCCTGCACGTCCGGAGCCTGTGCTCCACAATGGGAGAGGCCACAACAGTGAGAGGCCTGCATACCGCAAAAAAAAAAAAAAAAAAGAATCAGTTAATAAATTACTTTTAAAATAAATTACATTAAGCATCACTCCCTCTAAATAAGAGTGTAAAATTTAAATAGATCCCAACAGATCAAATTAAGTATCTGCTTTAGTAGATTTAACAAAGCCTGATCTAATTGAATAATAATAATAGTATATATTTCAAAATTAAGTGTCATGTATATTTGTCAACATAGAATTTTTTTTTTTTTT